TTCACTACGAAAAAGTTATGGCAAAAATAAATAAGATGTGTTATTTTCATAAACCTGTCGTGAACAAAAATCGACCGGCATGTTAGCAGTCGTAGCATCGCCCAGGAGTTAAAAATTGACTATAAAATTGTTTTAAACCATTTACACAAACCTGGATTCAAAAGGAAGCTCGATGTTTGGGTGGCACACTAACTAATAGAAAAAATAGGATGGATCGAATTTCCATCTGCGAAGCCTTGGCCAAACGGAATGAAATAGACCCATTTATTAAACGGATGGTGACTAGAAATGAGAAATGGATCACATACGATAACCCTGTGCAAAACGATCGTGGTCAAAGAGCGGCGAAGCATCTCAAACGGTAGCCAAATCAGGACTAACGGCCAGGAAGGTTCTGCTCTGCATTTGGTGGAACTGGAAGGGGATTATTTATTATGAGTTGCTACCATATGGCCAAACGCTTAATTCTGATCTCTACTGCCAACAACAGGACCGTCTGAAGATAGCAATTAACCAGAAACGGCCAGAATTGGCCAAAAGTGTTTGTTTGGGAAGTTTAAAAGCATCCGCCATACAGTCCGGACCACCAAGGGCACCAAGGGATTATGATATTTTTCATGCATTGCTAAATTTTTTAATGATAAAAAATTGGTATCTTGGGTGGATTGTAAAAATCGACTACTAGAGTTTTTTTGCAAATAGAGAGCAGGACTTCTATGAGAGAGGCATTATGAAATTACCTTTAAAATGGCAACCAATCATACAATAAAACGGTGCATATTTGGAATAATGGATTTCTTTTTCCCCTATCTAATATTTTGTTTGGAACACAATTTCATTTAAATATCTATAGTAGTTCAAAAAATATATGAAAAAAATTAGGTTTAAATTTTGCATAGCAGATGGTCCTGACGATCGTAAATCAAGTCACCCAAAATTCTCAACATTTTGCTGAAATTTAATTTTATAATATCAATTCACTCCTGCTGTTATCTCCCACAATTTTAATATGTTTTAATACAATATCAAGAGAATAGAATGTCCAATTTGATCCACACTTTGCAAATAGTAAACCGAAGATGCTCAACTTTAAAAAAAAAAAAACAAACAGTAAGGAAAGCAGTAAAGTCGAACTTGGCCGACTATGTTATACCCTTCACCACTTGGGTATAATGTACTTATGTATCCTTACAATTGTATGTCAATGATCCCTTGGAGGAACATGCTCATGTCTTTCTACAACCTATGATAAATTTAATTTAATTCGGGCAGATTTAGAGTCTGCGTATCAAGGGACAAATTTATGGAAAACGATTTGAAGCAAAATTGATACACACTATTCGGTACACCACACTTTAAAAATGTAATCTCAATCAGACGCCGATTCGAAATACATATGGAAGCTATGGCTGGATCTGCACCAATTCCAGCAAAATCCAATAACGTCATTCAAGTCTCAATTTGATACGTTGTGCAAAGTTTCGTGTTAATCGGACAAACATTTGGAGTTTGGTGCACCATTTATGTAAAATCGGACGAAAATATATTTGGGAGCTATATCTAAATCAGAACGGATCTTCAAGAAACTTAGCGCACCTCATTCTAGATTCAATTCAGTACTCTCTGCCAAATTTCGTGCAAATCGAAAAATTTTTTCCGGCTTTTGTGTACTATTTACATGAAATCGGACGAAATATATATATATAAGGCTATACCTAAATCTGAACCAATTTTCACGAAACATAGCACACATCATTCTAGACACAATTCAGTACGCTATGCCAAATTTTGTGCAAATAGAAGAATATATAGGGTCCTTGTTGCACTTTTTACATTAAATCGGACAAAAATATATATGTGAGATATATTTAAATCTGAACCGATTTTCACGAAACGTAACACACATCATTCTACGCTGTGCAAAATGTCGTGCAAATCGAAAGTTTTATAGGGACTTTGGTACACCATATGTCTTAAATCTGACGAAAATATTTATAGGAGCTATATCTAAATCTGAACCGAGTTTTTCCAATTGTAATAGGGTCTATCTCGTTTCCTTTTGCCTGTTACAAACATATGCACAAAGACATAATACCCTGTTCCACAGTGTGGTGAAGGATTTTTTTGCATTAGTACAATATGCTTTAAATCATGATTTAAATTATGCATATCTGTTTTCAAGCCCAACTTTCGAATATTCGAACCGATTATCTCGTCCTACAAAACTGATATCACATGAAAACGCAATGACAATCTCTTTGTTTCTTACAACACAAGTATTACCGTGAAAAATTATACAAAAACTTCAATACTAAATTTTATATTCAAAAATTAAAAAATCATGTTATTCCACAAGAAAATGTGGAATTTATGTGATGCCACTTTCATTTAAATATCTTCAGTACGAAACAAAGTTATAGGTAAAATAAATGACGTCCATGATCGATGTTTGGATTCACCCAACAAATAGATGGCGCTGACGTCAAGTGTTGACCAGTGCTGCCAAATTTCCAGAAATGGTACAGCAATAATTGAAATGAATATAAATATCTTAGAAGAAAATTTGTCACAGTTGCCATGTTAATAAAAAAATCGAAATTTTTGGGATTATTCATAACTTTTGAACGCGTCTAGTACCTCCGCCACAAAAGGGCAAAATTTAAATTATTAAAAATCCAATAAAAAGGAAATGGAATGTCCAATTTGCCCAAACATCGTAATATTTTTACCATTCCTAGATCAAGTCCGTAAATGAGACCCATCGATCCACTCTTTCTGGTACCTTACCCACAAAGATTTTAATATATGTTAATTCAATGTCAGAGAATAGAATGTTCGAACTATGCGTTTACCAAATATGAAAATGTGCCTCATCGAAATATTGGTTTTTTTGGACTAAATCCGTTTCAGAAAATTTGGAGTCGATTTACACACGTCCGTCCGTCTGTCTGCCTGGCTGGCTTGTGCGCACAATAACTCTCGAAGGGAATAATCGTTTTCATACAAACTTTGCACATCTTAATAGAGGGTTCAAATTTTCAATATTTATAAATCCAATACTAGTTTTTATAATTAGGTATCAGAGGACAATAACCAGCCATAAAATGTTTATTCAGTTGAAGAATTAATGAGATATAGAGCTCCAAAAAAAGTGCCGGACCAACTGTGGAACTTGAGAATAGAGTTGGGTAGTCCGCAGAGGAGGATCTGAATTCCACCCAGACTGATAGCAATGACAATTACCAGGCTAAGCCGGTAGGTGCCTCATGTGTCCCACGAAATGCGGGTAGAAGCTATTTCTGCTTTTGCCTTTTTTTACAAAACTGGAATAATATTTAAATAATACTAATTTATTATACATTTTTTAATGTTTTTTATAATTAGGTATCAGAGGACAATAACCAGCCATAAAATTGTTATATCAGTTGAAGAATTGCTGAGATATAGAGCTCTAAAAAAGTGCCGGGCCAACTGTGGAACTTGAGAACAGAGTTGGGTAGTTCCGGAACGAACTAGTTCATTGGGACTATTCCGAGAAAGGAACGATCGGAACTAGTTCTAGCTCTTTAATTAATATAGTTCCTTTTTCTGATATCGTTCCTTTTTGATCACTTTCTTTTTTCGTTTCCTTTTTTTCTCGTTCTTTTCTTTCTGAACTATGTGAGCGAAAAAAAACAAAAAGAACGATGAAAGAGAGAGATTCAAAGGAACTATGGAGGAGTCGGAACTATTTGGAGAAAAGGAACTATTTGAGTAAAGGAACTATATGGAGCAAAGAAACTATATGGATCAAAGGAACTATTTGGAGCAAACGAACTGTATGGAGTAAAGGAACTATATGGATCAAAGGAACTATTTGGAGCAAAGGAACTATAAATAGCAAAGGAACTGTATGGAGTAAAGGAACTATATGGTGCAAAGGAACTACATTAACGAACTAGTTCCTTTCTAAAAACGGAATGATAAAGATCGATCCGCTAAGTGAACTAGATTGCCCAACTCTACTTGAGAACTACAGCTTCGAGGTCGTCAAAGATTTTATATACCTTGGTACCGCCATAGATAAAACTAATGACATCAGTATAGAAATTCGGAGAAGGATTGGGTTGGCCAACAAATTGCAGCTCTTGGAGTGTTTGAGAGAAAAATTCTTCGAAAGAAGGAAGGCCACGAATGGAAGATGGAAAGACCAAGTGGAAGACAACATTGCATTGAAAAACTGCTTTCTCTATAACTCAATCTCAACAGCAATCTTAATTCCAAAATTCAGGTTTTCAGCTCTATCCGTTCAACCAAAGTTCAAATTGTACTAAATTAAGTACTTTTCGTACCCACTATCCGGACTATCCGATTTTAACGAAATTTTGTATTATCTTTACCAAGGTCAAGATTGAAGATGGGACCAATTGGTCCACTCCTTCTGGTACCTCCCCTCAAATGATCGAAATTTTCAATATTTAACTCCAAAGATGGGACCCATTGGCCCACTGGTATCTCCACACAAATGGTCGACATGCTCCGCAAAATATAGGGTGAAGGTATATATGTCTGTCGGTAACACCGACTGATACTTTTGTACTTGTTTTGAACGGCAAAAAATAGCAATATTATATACTAGAACTCGTACTAAGTTGGCAATTCGATTCCTAGAGCCCATTTGCATAATATGGAATGGCAAACAAAATATTCGATGTGTTACATTTGTTCGGTCTTATGTAATTCATTCCCATGTTAAAACACACACAAATTCTTAAATATTAAAGAAAAATCATTTTTATCTATAAAATATAGCAATACGTAAATGTAAATAAATGTAATACACATACATTAACAACTAGCCATATTAGTAATACATCGATAACAATAAATAAAAACATTTTTTTTAATTAAATATCCACTGAAAATATTGAGAAATGGTGGTGTGTGCACAATGAAACAACATTTATTATTTTAGCAGCATCGACACAAATCTTCGGTTATTAGAACTAGTTTAGACTTACCTGTACATGGTGCGATAATATGTCGGCTGATGCGGCAATGTGGCACTGGCACAGCGATGATTGCAACGGAAGTCATCATCGATATCCAAAACATTGGCTAACAACGACTTGGAAGATCTGTACAAAAATTACAAATGAAATGAAATCAATTGAAATATTGACCCGTTGGGTTGCGGGGAGGGTTTTGGGTGGTCTGGATTAGGTTGGTATTCGTCAGCAATAAATTAAGGGGACGGATAGCCATATATTGGCATTATTTGGGGGTTCGGGGGAAAAATAGGTGTAACTTGGGGGGGATAGATAGGTCTTAGTTACCCTTGGGCATCCAAACCAATTTTTTGTTTGTTCGTTTGTTTGTGTGTTCTTTTTGTTTGTTTTTTTGTACAAAAATTACCTTTCCTTCAATTCAACATTCTGTATGTGTTGCTTCTTGTCGCCATTGTTGGAGGATGTCGACGACGATGATGGTGGCGGTGGGCATTCATAGCCAACCTGTCCCGGTCTTTGCATGCGCAAAATGCAAGGTAACCAATAAAGGAATATTACTCTTATCTGGTGGTTGGTGGTGGTTGTTTTGTTTTTTGTTTGGTCACAGTGGGCCGAGAAAGAGTAGTGGAGTAGTTGTGGTATAATTTTTTTTAAATGGTTTTTGTTTAATTTTTTAGATTTTAAACAAATCGTTTTAATTAATTAATTTTTTAAATTAATTTTTTGTTTTTTTTGGACAGAAGTTTTAGAAGTAAAAGAAGAATCATGTGAAGATCAGCCGTTGTATGAAATAGAGTTGTTGTTGTAGTTTTTTTATTTTATTTTGTTGTTGTCAGACATGATGAGGTGTAGAGAATTATTTTTTTTTTAAATTCAGAGGTGTTGAAGTGGTTCAATTTGAGAGGGGGTCAATTTTTTTGGTGGTAAGGCGTTTCCATTTGATTGGTTTTTTGTTGTTGTAATATTACACAAAAGTAAGTAAGTTGTTGTTTTTAAAAAAAAAAGTTTAAGAAAAAAGTATATAGTGGTTAAGTTTTATGTTATAGAAAATATTTTTTAAAAAAATAATAATATTTTTTATAAATGGAGAAATAAAAAAAGAGGAATATATTTATAAATATGATAAAGTGTTTATATTACAAAAATTATTCTTTTGTTGTTGTTTTTCTTTTTTAAGGTTTTGGCATGCAATCGTCCATTTTTTGTAATATTTTTTTTAATTATTTTTTTTAAGAATTAAGCATTTTGTTCATTTAAAAGCAAAGTATTTTTTTTTGGTTTTGATATTTTTTGTTAAAATTTAAGTGTATATTTTTTGTTTTATATATTTTGTTTCTTTGTGTGTTAATATGTGGGTGTGGGTGTAATAATATGTGATTGTATGTTTTGGTTATTTAATAAAAATGTTTTGGTATATATAAAAAATTAATAAGAAAATTAAAATTGTTTATTTTTTTCTATATAGAAATATAATATATAGCTTTATTTTGATATATTTCAAATTTTTGTTTTCTTGTTGTATTTTTGATTTTTATTTTTTGTAATTGTTTTTTTGTTTTCTTGTTAGATAGTTAGAGAGATAGAGAGAGAGAGGAAAAAAAGGAAAAAGTATTACCCATTCACTCATTTCATGCGTATCTGGATTTCTATGATGATAATTGAGGATAAGTATGGTTGACACAACTGATGAAGCCACCATAAACATAATGCAATTGAAATAAGTTCCTAGAAGGACACAAAAATTACACAAATATTGTACTTACTTAGATTCATTTAAGTAAATTTGTTTTTTTTTGTAAATTTTTGAAAAAAAACTATTATTTTTTTTCATATAGATTTCTGGGTTTTTCTTAACGTACATTGTTCATTGTTAGTTTTTACTTGAAAAAATGTTAATTGGCATAGTTATTGTAGTTATTTGAAATTTGTCTGCAAAATCATGTTTTTATTTGTTTATTAATTAAATGCCCAAAAATATTTGCATTTAATATTCATTTGTTATTTGATTGTGTAATAATGTACTCTAAGCCTATTAGCTGTTTAACTGTAAACGATTATTAAACCCCTACGGAAAATAAGGAGAACTAAAAAACGTAGCATTCGGCTTTGGTCATAAGGACATCCTAGATTATAATTTCTCTATAAAAACAAAGAATAATACTGGGCTGTACTGCCAAAGGAGGAATGTAGCCCATGTCATTTCCAAGTCGATACATATTTTCTTGAAAAGCTTCTTTGGGATGTTTCTGTAGGGTTTCATAAAAGTATGCCTAGAACCATGATTGATTCTATTGATTAAATTTGCATGTTGAATTATGTAGGATCAGTGTAAAATTGTACGACGTCTGTCTGTCGTAATCACGTTAGACAAATGTTCGCATAGAGTTGTCATTTATCTGCAGGCATACGTTTAGGCACAACCCATATACCCACAAATTTTCAGTATTTTCGATACCTATTGTACTTCCTTGTAATTTGAAGGAACGGATGGAGGTGGATTCCGTTGAAGTGGGGTATGCACTTAGTTTTGGAAATTTGTACATATGGGCACGAAATGTTCTAAATAGAGAGCCGATAGAGATGGAACATTGAAATTTGGAAACAAGCTTGCTGCATTGTAGAATTGGATGACATAGTGGATGATAGATACCATGGAACGGCACTGATTGGCTTTAACATGGCAAAGCCCAAGCTTATCTCGGTTCCTATTTCATCTCACTGTATAAACTGACCTGGAGTAGCTACCTTCAACACCCTTTGGAATAGTGAGCTGATTTGTGCCGAGAGTTCACCCATAAGAAGTAAAAAAATGGGTTGAGGAAAAAGAAAACCAAACCCCCTTAATGTTGACGACCTTCGAAAACGATCTGTGAATCTGCACTTGGAATGAGCGTACGTTGTACAGAATAGGCACATTTTCCCTTTGGCGGATATACTCAAGAAGTGTAAAGCCGATATTATTGCCTTATAGGAAATGCGATGGAAAGGGTCATTACGCCCTTTATTAAAGCTGCCATGATACGAGACATTATTTTGGCTTCGGATTTATAGTTATGAAGAGAATAAAAGGAGATTTTAATGCAAAAATCGGAAGGGGAAATATTTTTGACGCCGCAGTCGGAAAATTAAGCCTTCATGAAGAAACATCCGACAACGGCATGAGCACCATGAATACACACGGTAACCTGGCTTTCTCCCGATCAAACAACAAGAAATCAAATCGATCATGTTGTCATAGACGGAAGGCATTCATCCTGAAAACACAACAGACAGCAGAAGCCCACTCCGCTCATCTTACCCACCTGCTTGACGAAAGCACTCCTTGTCCCGATAATAACATAGAAGAACAATGGTAATGTATTGGCCACTCCCTACAAACTGTAGCAAAAGCAACACTCGGGTACCAAAGATTACCATCAAGAAACCCATGGTACGATCAGGAGTGTAGCATAACGATGATGTTAAAAACGTAGCGTATAGGGCAACTTTGCACACAGTAGTAGTAGAAAAAGGCGAGCGGTGAAACGTATTTTCCGAAAACGAAGAAAAAATAAGAAAAACGTGAGCGAGAGCAAATCTAGATGTCCAGCAGTCAGAATGGAGTTCGGAAATGCTACCAACGAGTAAAACACCAAACCGAAGATTTTGGTGCAGGCACATCCTCCTGTATGACAGATACAGATAGCGTATTGAGGATCTGGAAGGAGGATCTTGCAAAGCTTTTGGTATCAAAGAGTGGTCGTGAAGAAGATACCCCAGAACCAATAAGAGATGATGGTATAGAGTGTATACCAAATAGCCAAGATGAGATCAGAATAACAATCAATAGACTGAAGAATAATAAAGCAGTAGGTACCGATGGGTTATCAGCCGAACTATTCAAGACCGGTGATCAGATACTGGTCAGGAGCATGAACCAGCTGATTAGTACAATTTGAATAGAGGAATGCATGTCCAATGATTTATGTTGAGGTTTAAATCCCCTGACCTGTGTCCCGTGCACAAAAATGTAAACAAGACCATATGTGCGAACTATAGAGAAATTAGTCTCCTACCCATCGCATATAAAGTGTCATCTAGCGTGCTGCATGAACGACTGATGCCAATGGTCAATGACGTGGCAAATCCAACATAGACCAGATTTTCACTCTGCGTCAAATCCTGGAAAAGACACACGAACACCACATCGACACATTCCACCTATTCGTCGACTATAACTCCGCATTCGACGGCACTATCCGTTCAGAGGTGTTTAAAATCATGTCTGCGTTCGGAATGGTAATTGGTAAAAACCCCCTTTGAACAAATTGAGAATGAGTCTACCAAATTGGGTCTGGCGAGAAGACCAAGCTAACGGTATCAATGGGTCGAACACTGGGAGCGGTAACAACCCCCTTTGAACAAATTGGGAATGAGTCTGCGAAAGTGGGTCTGGCAGTAAATGGCGAGAACACCAAGCTGATGGTATCAACGGGTCGAACACTGGGAACGGTAAAACCCTCTTTGAACAAATTGAAAAGGAGTCTGGCAAGCTGATGGTACCTACCCGAATTACAACATTCATCGGTCACAAGATCACATTTGAAGTAGGGTCGATATTGGTGTATAGGAAATATAAAGTTTTCTCTTAAAGCATTGTAATATTTTAAGACATGTTAAAATGTTTCCCACATAAAATAACGAAGTAGCGGGCAAATGCCTACATTATATATATTCCGATATTGCTCAGTAAATGTCCCGACATGTTTCCTAAACTTGAGCTTAGCTCGAATACAAGTTGGGTAGTTGTTCAGGGTAAGTACCACAAAAGGTCCTAAATTTGGCTATTTTCAAGGTTTTAGCCAGTGTTTCCCAATGTAGTGACTGTAATTTGTCATTTCAGATTCCTGGGAAATATAATGTTTATTCCCATAAAATTTATAGCGTAGATCTATGATTTTTAATAGCCGTATACATTGCACAGTTTAATTACCATACGTTGAAGTTTTTTGTCAGTTATTCAACCTGATTATCTGTAATTTGGTATTTGATTTTCTCAGGAGATAAGCAGTCTACAAATAGACAATTTACATTGGCGTAGTCTCGATACGAAGGTCCCGATCTTTTAACATGTTTTTATTTCTGATCGATTTTGTTTGAATTTATATATTGACTATGTAATCCGATCATACTGCCTACATAATATTTCTAAAACGGTTATATTTCGGACTATTCGGAATATACAGCTCTTAATTTGTATTTAAAATGTATTTGATCACCATATAATGTTACACTGTAGTCCAAAGAAAGTACA